TTCGGTTCAAAATTAATGAATCAACAAGGATAATTATCAAAGAAATATCTTATCATATCTTGATAATTTGGAACCCTGTTTAAAGCGTGAAACACACAGAGAGCGGGATTTATATGGACGACAACACACCGAGCGGGCGGGCGGGCGGAATTAGACCCGCCGCGGTCCCGACCCGACCCACACCCGCTATCTGTGTGTGTCACGCCTAAAGGTAATACGGGGTTTGCAGATTCTGTGTCCGTTCGTCCGGGTTCCGTCGTCTTTATTAATTACGCTTCTCATATTTTCGACATGAATGGTCGCTCGATATTGTACCTCGATAGTAACCATAAAATGACGAATTCATAGTACAATTTAAGCCGTGATAGTCTGGTAGTTATGTACGTGACCGCAAACAATTACCTATGGTCGATTGTCACGCAGGTCGATAGTCAATCTCATGCTTTTCGTGTTTTGTACCTCGGCAGTGTTAATAAATTGAGAAATATATTCGAGAGTTTTTAGTAGCAGTAGAGCGCCACCCAGAAGTAATGTGCGCATTATTGCGTTTCGGTTTTGAAGGGTAAGGGTGCTGGTGACTCTTTTCAACTTATTTCTTAGGGTGACGGGGCAGTGGCAATGCCCGCCGACATTTACAATTTACAGCTCTAAGTAGCATTGCAACTGTTGTGGGTAGGCGTGTCGCTTACCACCACGACTTGTTCGTCCCTGTGATTGAATTCGTGAGTAAATGAATTCCTGACACTGGCCGAAATGCAATTAGTTCCTTATTAGTTCACCTGTCTTTTTACTTCTTTCATTTTTTCAGCTCATAGACGCGAGGCGAGACGGTGAGAATGAGACAGTCAGTGGATTATCATTGCTTGTAGTACAAGTTCGAGTGAGATGCACGATTGAGCCTTGCCAGCTCGTTAAAGGCTCAAATATAAACTTATAAGTACCTATACAATAAACTTGTTACATATTTACTTTAAATTTCTTTATCAAATTGAACACATTTATATACCATGTGATGGTGTACGTGTTATATATATACATATTAATAAACATATATAAAATACCAAACTCAATTACAACAAATATGCGTATTTTGAAATAAAATTGTAACGTGAAATTGAAGAAAAAAATTACAAAGCAAATAATTGTAAGTACGATAATCCTTTATTCCAAAAACACATAAAGTCGGCGTAGGAAAGATGGAAAACATTCCTATTTAAATCAATAAGTCGTTCATGCGGATCATTACATTCCGTGTCGTTGAAAGACCGAGACGGTTCATATTCCTTACCAATTCCCAGATCCCACTGAACTAAGGAACTAAAAGAACTAAAGGACACAAAATACCGAATGAATACCGAAATTGTCCGAATGAACTAAATGGGATCGCTCCCTCCAAAGACCGAGCAGGCACAAATCCACTTATTATCATAAAAAAAACTAATCACAACTTGCTTATAGCAAGACAAATCTATAATTAAACAACATGCTAACATTTCTAAACCAAACGACTCTATGTTAAATAAGAAACGATAAACACCACCAAAACTACTCCAACGAGATGAAAACAAAATCCGTTCCAAAGCAATTCACTTAGCACAGCATCCAAATCGGTTTAGTGGCGCAGCTGTGCGATGACGTCGTGTGACGTCACACACGCGATTATGGTAACTCGATTGCTGCCGGTCGCGCCTCCTGTAATTCGTTTACGCCTGGTGCGGTGAAATGCAGTATAGAAATACAGACTATGTAAAAAAGGTATAGCATATCGTATCAATCACTGGACATGACGTTATAACACTGCCAAAATGAATAAGGAACGAGGGTTGAACAAAACCGCGAGATGAGTGATGCTGCTTTTCCTTTTCTTTGATTCGTAACAACAAAGTTGGTATTAATGACCCTCTTAAATTTCTGCCAAATATAACTAAACCCTCTAGCTTTTAATGATCATTATCAAAACGCTATAAAATCGAAATTAGTTGCTACTGCTCTGGACGATGTAAGCTGGATATATCAAAGGACTGGGTGAACAGGTATCTTATAGGCAATCGTGGATCATCTTCGTCCACCTCTTCTGCCCTTATCATAACTAACGTAATCAACATTTTAGCAAAATTGTGTTATTAACATGTCTGGTATCAACGGAACAAGGGCTATAACCCCCTCTAATCGGTTTTTTAATATCTTATTTACTTTCGGTTTTATTCTTAAGCAAAAGCAGCGTTTTTTTTTAGGTGACAATTTCTCGGATGTTACTGTAATGCACATGCGTTAGCTATGACTACTGTTGGGTGATTTTCCGAAAAACTTCAAATAGTGGAAATTTTTCTGGAAAATTTCAGTAAAATTGGAAAAGTTGGTAAAATATAATTCGAAGACTCATATTTTAGGAATATCTTTTGAGTTTTATTTAGCGTGAATTATAAAAGAAAACTGTATAGCCAAAAACAAGTTCGAGAAAAACGAGATTTAAAATATTTGGACAACAGCGAAAAAAAAGAATCATAGCTAAAAAAAATTACTAATAATGGCTCCGTCGTTTTCGACTTTAAAGTTTACTTTTGACAGGTGTCAACTGTCAAATTTGGAAAAACATTATACAGCAAAAGTATAGGAAAAATATTAATTTTTCAAAATCATGACCCAATATTAGTAATACCAGTTTCTAATTTTCTCAAGGTGGAATTGTAGATAAACGTAAGCTTAGGAAGTCACCAAAAAAATTATCTACTATCCACTATCGCATGTATTTGAACCAATATATATTTTTTTATAAAGATTTATGGCCCGGTTGGCAAGAGTTGTAGGCCAATTTAACCAATCAGGGGGCAGTATAGCGTTTGAATAACGTCCTAATTAATATTTTAATTAGCAAAAATACGACGTTCTTTTTTTGAAGCTCATTACAGTTCTGTGTACAGAACTTCAATGAAACTTTTCAGCTCAGTGACGAGTACCATAGGCAATGGAATTTTGATTCAGGACTAAAAAAGAGAACCTTTATGATATAATTTATGAAATTATAATCGTTAACCGAAAGGACTCTTTTAACTTTTTGCCGCTGATCCATAAGTAACATGTTAGAATGTCAGACTGAGACCCTGAGTAATCTATGACGTGTGCCCGGGGGCAGTAATTGATCCGACCTTCGTCGTCCTGCCCATCAGCCGCGGGAAATTGCCAGTTATATCCGTTGAAAGATTGTCACTTACCGCCACACGCCGGCTACACTACGCACCTACTTGTGTATGTTGTACACCGCTCAGATACGAAATAAACATTCATCTCGTATTTAGCAGGCTTTCAAGTCGCATAAACAAAAGCGCACGACTTTGATATAAAACAGTGTCGTCTAAACAGAGTAATGTGTACTTTAAAGCTTAAAACATTTAAAACGCATTATTAACCGCGCTAAACTCATAAAGTATACCTATACAAAGATTTCATTAAGTCAAAAGTGCCATTTCAAACCTCATATTATGGAAAGAGACGACTGCAGAATGCTCTTAAAAGTTATATCAAAACTCCGCAGTTCAAGTTTAATTACAAAGTCGATTACTTGTTAGAATTTAACTCGAGAATAATTCAGGGCTGAGGTCGGGCCAAGGGGCGGCAAGATGAGATCTGAGACAATAGGAAACGAACATATCGGCTGTGTCGCCAGCGAACTTATGAAGAAACTAAGCCCTACAATCTCCTATTTACCCTAAACATTCAATAGAGATGCAAATATTTATTTTTACGAGGGACACATCAACATGCAAACGACGCGGCGGAGGGGCGCGGGGCGCGTCGAGACCGGGCGCGGCTAGATCATCATAAATACGACCCTGTGGCGAATCATGCAGCCAACGGGCGAATAAAGCGGCTTAATGAGACGACTAATCGCCCCAACAACTATTTATACGGTCAATAAAACTGGCTTGTTTACCATATCAATCGTATAAATGGTAATAAAAAGACGAAGCGGGATGCGGGGAGAAAGTTTTTCGAACGGTAACCGACAATGCTTCAGGAATTTATGTGCGTCCGCCGACCTAAGGAATAAGTGTGCTTCTGACAGTTAAATTGCGAAAGTTAATGCATAAATAAAAGGTAACAATATAGGCCGGGGAGGGCGACGCCGCCCGCGCCCTCTACCGCGTTAGAGCAAAACGATCGGCGCTCCTTTCAAAGGCCACGTCGCTTCTACGGGAAGCTTGTAAAGTACCAATTTCTACCGAACGCCTGTCAAACAAAACCTCACATTGAGCGATTCTAAAATATTCATCAGAATGTTCATTCAAAATTTAACGATGAACGAATGACACGTTTTACTGCGCTGATGAATGAACGTTGAGCCGGATTATGTTTGTCTGTGAGTCATTTGTATTCTAGACGGATCGCGTGTCTAAGATAATAACATTCCTACTACACGCTTTCACTAAATTAATGAGATGACTATGGCCTCTTTATATAGATTTAAATCTGTGATTATGTAAGGAAGCATGTTATTATAGGGCAAACAAAGATTTAGGCAAGTCACTGGAACGTTGGAAACACGTATCGATGAACCATTTTTCTTTGTTCCCAAATAAACTAAAGTAACAATACATATAGCTGCCTTTCACAGTGGTACCTATAATAAACAGTTCTCTGCCTCTACCATGAGTTTACTGTGACGGTTGTCGCCAGCTACCGCGTAAATTACTTCACAATTTTGTATGGGAAATTATACAGCGCCCACAGCGGTCAAGAAGAAACAATATTTCGTATACAAACAATTTACGCGGTCGCTGGCTATAACTGCAATTGAACAAGAGGTTAGCAGCAGTAAAGCTCCTCAGTAAGTGAGACCTGTTAAGCAGTGGGCATTACTGCGTTTCGGTTTTGAAGAGTAAGGATGCTGGGCGCAGTGGCAGCTGTCAGTTCTTTGCGATTCAAAGCTTTGAGTGGCATTGTAACTGTCATAGGTAGTAGTTGCTTACCACCAGGCGTATATAAAAACAAAGAAGACTTACCGCTCTCAGAAACAGAGGACGGCGAGCGATCCGCAGTAGATACCCCTGATGAGGACTCGAGCGAAGACAACGAATCCGCACGCGTAGCATGCGGGTGCGGCAGACTGGTCTCGCTAAGACTGCGCGTGGAGACGTCATGCGAGTTTCGCAGCTGAGCCAACCGCCGTCGCAAATAGCGCTGTTCCCGCGCCAGCTGCTCCTTATGACTCGAGTGTCGTTTCTCTCTCTCTTCCAAACTCTGTAACAATAGAAGATAAATAAAGATAAAGTAAAAGACGTTAGAGGAAGCAATATATTAGATAAATCGATTAGATAACAGATCCCTTAATCGTGCAGACGACGAGATAAATAATTTTGGCAATTATCATAAGAACGTTTAAAAAGAACGATCGCTTATTTCCTTCCGGTGATCTATGTCAATAAACATTATGTTGTCGAGCCACCGATCAGAAGAAAAGTAGTGATTCTAGAAAACAAATTACTGCGGAGCTTCCCTAACTTGGATATTCGATGTCTTGACAAAAAATCGCGTAAGAATAGACGTTAAGAGGGTCAACATATTTTTCTTCGTGACGAACTAAGCTGGGATGGGAGTCGACAGCGAATCAATCGCTATAGGAAATTGGACAAAGCACAAAAATCGTGACAATATTGAATGTCTAGCGAAGGTGATACTAAAGCTTAAGGCTTGTTATCAACAGTTGTTTAACACTGGAATCAGATTTAAATGGCTGGATACTTTTCATTCCAAATCAGTAATATTATAACTACATAAATTTGGATGTTGAAACTGTTTATTACTCAACCACGTCACAAACTACGGTAATTAAATTTAATGGGAAAATGCTTCTGTCCTGAATTAGAATAAAAAAATACATTGGTGAGTCGAAAATAATCAGGGTCAGGTATAATGTGACTTTGTGAATTGTGACTATTCAAATAACAAATAAAATACATTTTCCGAAGCACTTGAATTTTGGTTTAACAACACTATGAAGACAGACTGTCGACTAGAAGTGAGTAAAATTTTCAGTTTTTCAACCACAGAAGCGTCCAACGGTCGGGAGCGTCCCCCCCTGTCTCCCAGTCGGGAGGGGGGCTACATCACGCTATCGCCGGCGGCCGCAGATGAAATATCCCCTCGTAAATCTGCCAGAACTCACCGCCACGGACGTAACCTCCAACTGTACGAAGGACCACACATTGACATACACAAACTGTCAAAATTGTGGAAAATTATACCTTATAACGTGTATATAGTGTTGAAAATTGCAATAACGAAAAGTGGCAGTTTGTATGTAGACTCCGGCGTCTGGTGGCCTGTACGTGTATGAAAAAGTTATTTTGCAGCGGAAAATGGAAGAATAATAAGGTAATAAAGTGACATTTCGCGCTGACAGAGGCGCTCCTCAGTGGAGCTATAAATCTGGAATTGCTTAGTCAACAAGTAGGTCGAAAAGTGTGACCGCGATATTTGTGAAGGTCGGTGGAAACTTCTAGATTTAAATCCCTTTATGTAACGCGTAGTAGTGTAGGTGAATAACGGTTTTATCCAAACTTCGTAAATACATAGGGATTGATTTATTTCCATCTTGTTGGTGATATTGTGTGTTGTATTTATAGCATTCAATCAAATAGCTTTTTAATCTACCAACGCAAAAAGAGGGGAGTTGCGTTTTTTTTATTTTAATGCTGCTTTTATGGGAATGGTTATTGGTTATGTCTGATGAACATCGGTTCTGCTGTTTACAGTTCATCAGCTCTTTTCCCGGTTAGTGTAGAGATTTCAGTGAGAAAATGAATATTTATTAGCCGATTTAAAAAAAGGAGGAAGAGACTCTGAATTCGAATTTATTTTTAATTTGTATGTTTGTTACGCGATTGCGACTGCATTTCTGAACCGATTATCATGATTCTTATTTTGTTGGAAAGAGGGTACCTCAGTATTGGTCCCATTTAAATTTGAAGGAAATATACCACCTCTAAGGGTGGCAAACTTGCGGATGAATCCGATTTCGCGCACTTTCCGGTAACCGATTTAAATAGCTGCACAAGCAAATAGCTGTAATTCCACGAATTTTTGAGGTCAGTTTTTTTATAAAGAAGTTATTTATTAATATAAAGATCGAACGCAGAGAAAATTAATTGGATCCGTTTGGATTCGAACCAGCGTCTTCAGCATACCAGGCCTACGCTTGCCCAACTAAGCTACGAAACGAACTAGCAGACCCAACGAATTTTTCTATGTGCTGCAGATCTCTTTTTTTTCATTTTTTTTTCTTTTTTTCTTACAGTTAGTTCATTTCTTAACAAGTACTTACTATTTGTGTAGATTTTTTGTAGTAAACCGAGTATATTATTATATTTTTAGAAGCAGTAGAGCTCCTTGTGAAAGAGTTCGTCGAGGGAAGTACTGCTACTTTACCTATTTCTGCCGCCAAGCAGTAATGTCAGTATTACTGTGTTCTGGTTTGGAATAAATCACGTAAAAGAGACTTGTCAACTTATGTCTCAGGGTGACGGGCGCAGTGGCAGTGCCCTACTTGTTTTGCCTTGCCTTGACTTAAATAAATAAATAATAATAATGTGCTAGACACTCCCACTGTCTTGTCTAGACTAATTTGATTACTACAGGTATAGGTACCTGTAGAGTACTTGAGTACCAGAGTAACAGAACACCCAGATCAGAAAGAATTTAGAAAAGTTAATTTCCCAAGTCGGTCCTAATCGGTTCCGCATCTAGCGCCCACAGTGTAAACCGTTAGACGACCGAGGTCGTCGTGCCCAGCTCACCTATGCCCAGAAGTGGTATAATGTTGATGAATTGGTGTGATTATCTGGGTTATTTATTAATTACTGTTCTTATAAAACAATTTTTAGAGCGAACGTCGAGCGAAACATCAGGTAGACCTCAGCGTACCGAGTACATCCCTTAAAAAGGTCAGGTCAAAAGGACCACGAATGAATGTATGAAAAAAGTGATTAGAATATGGGAAGCGAAAGAGGTATGCCATGAGTGGAATTCCGTAGTCACTGCGTATTCGAATGAGAATTTCCGTTTCCGTATTCATATGTACATACAGTTTAATTTTATATGAATAAACTTTTCAATGCCAGAACAAAGTTTGGATACAAATTCGTTAATTTGATTAGTGGGCAAAGACGGTCTTATCGCAAAAAGCGATCTCTTCCAGACATCCTTTGAGGCAGAGGAAAGCCAGTTCGTCCAGGGAAGTACTGCCACCTTACCTATTTCTGCCGCCAAGCAGTAATGTCAGCATTACTACGTTCCGGTTTTGAAAGGTAAGAATGAGGGTAAAATTACAGGGATATGGAACTTGTCAACTCATGTCTCAGAGTGACGGGCGCAGTGGCAGTGCCCCTCAGATCTTTGCGCTTTACAGCCCTGAGGACACTGCAACTGTTATGGACAGGCGTAGTTTGCCATCTGGCGCACGACTCGTTCGCGCCGTCACCTAACTCGACAAATATATATATATAAATATATATATAAACTTATAATTTCTAATAAATATACAACATAAATACTGATTATAATATTTTTTTTATTTTATTCATTTAAATCAGGCAACATGACCCACTTAACGGGGTCGTGTGGCGCAATCTGGTTTCAGATAACCTGCCTCGGAATCGCTGATATATGACACACCGAAACTTCTCCATCATGAAGATCGACAGATGTTTTGTCGGCATTCTCACTACAAATGAATTAAAATTCACGTTGTGGCGGAACTCCAACCGCTTGACCCTCGGGGTGCTTTTGGCTTTTAGTCTGATGTACTCCACTATCCCTCAGTCTTCGTGGAGTTATGCAGTCGAGGAACCAACAGCCCCGGATGATACCTCGGCGAAACACGTATCGGGTATATTTGCTGGTGGTGTATGTGACTGAAGTTACGCTTGTGTTATTTATATTATTAATTTTTATTTAAAATTAACTGCCTGAAAAAATATTCAACCCAAGCGCAGCTATTTCGCACGAGTTAACCGTCACTGGGTTCCCGGAGTAGCGAATTAATTACTTCTATTTTTATTAATGCAGTCGCGGCAGGTACAGCAACGTCATCGGTATCGTTCGGTCATGTTGGTGCTGTGCCACGCAGGTTACGGCCAATATTTATTATGTCCTTTATCCTCACTTTCCTGTATTGAATAATCATATTCTACGATCAAATTGAACGATTTAATAAAAAAGGAGTTTCGCCACTGCCTTGGTAATACAGCTAATCCATCTTCTTTTGAAGTTGGTTTAAAAATACAGCCCAATACGACCCCCTACTTCGAATGTAGATTGGAAAAGTTTTAAAAAACCAATTAAATTATAACCGATACAGTCTGCGGCGATGTTTAAAATTCATCAGAGCACAATTTACATGATTATTTTGTGCGAGCGAGAGCTTTTGTTGCTCTTTGTATTTCTTTGAAACAAGACCCTTTTTTACATTTGTTAGGAGAATAAACGTAAACTTCATAATGGCTTCGGGAAGTATTTAGTATACTGTTAGTGGTATCTTTTTAGACCTCTATATTTCCACATTGACTAAGATCCACTCTAAAGTGGTTTTTAATAAGAAAGTACGGGTGTCAGGTGATGAACATCCATCTATCTCTTTCAAATTGTTTTTCTTTTTTGAAACTGTTTATTAATTTTTCCGAAAAATTTTGCACTGATGACCCGAGGTCCTGGTAATTATTGCTCTTTATTCTTTTCGCCAGCTCGCCTGCGGAGCCAGTCCTCTTGCTGGTGTGCTGGAGATAGAATGGGACTAGTGTGTAGACACGTGTGGCGTCCCACATCAGTGCCTTCCGTTTGCCATCAGTTCGTGACATGCCGCTTACGTCGAGGCTAAAGCCCAGCGGTTGATGTAGTTGATATTATATTGTATTGTATTTCATAGGTAGCCAACATAAACTTAAAATAGTCAAATTGGCGAATGTACACCACACGCATCATTTATAAAAATATTGATTAATTATCAATACAATGAAAAATTTCTTCGCCCTGACACGAGTCGAACCTACGTCTGTGCCAAACCAACTTCTCTACTCTAGGCGATCTACCAACTGAGCTACAGATCGAGTAAACAGACGTTACGAATTTTTCTCAGTGTTTTTTACAAATCTTTTGTATTGTTTTTATCGGTTTTTGTGCAATATCTCTCACGTAAAATTAAATACTGTTTTAACTCAAAAGTTATTAAATCGTAAAAACACGAT